CCCTGATAGCTTGGATCTGAGTGCTCAATATATCTGAACAGCTCTCAGATCCCATGAACAGAATAAAATCGCCATGGGGTTAAAGTTTAACACAGGCTGATGAGAATTTTAGGAGGGATAAAGCAGCCAGTTTCATTTAGAGGGCCAGAACAGTCTTTTAAAACACTAATAAGTTCAAATAGTGTTTTTTTTAACTGGCAAAGTCTCCCAGGGGCCATAGTCACATGGCAAGAGGCAGGCAATTAGTCCTCTCCAGGCACAAGTGGCGTTAGTTAGTTTCGCCACATCTCTCCCCTTTCCCCAAAAAAACACTAACGAAGTACCTGACCTCCTGTCCGTCAGTGCCTTGGTTAGTCAAGCAACCCACCCACAACACATAATCAGCCGCGTAGCCCACCCACAACAAATAATCAGCAGAGTAGCCCACCCACAATACTTGGTTACTAGACCGTCCAGCATCCCTGTGGGTCAAGTACAGAGACCACAGTCCCATCTGTACCGTCTTGGAGCTCAGTATCTACCCCTGGTGGGGTAAGCTGCCGCTGGCAGAGGGGGTAACAGGCTCCTCTCCCTGAGACACTCTCTGCCGCTGGAGAGGGTGACCGACTGTCTCCACTCCCAATAACGTCTCCTGCTGCTGGAGAGAGAGACCGGTTGTCTCTGCTCCCTGCGGGGGGTAGGTGGGGATCTGGACAGGCCGTCCAGCATCCCTGTGGTGCAGGTACAGTATCCCCCCTTGGTGGGATAAGCTGCCGCTGGGGAGAGGGGGTAACGGGCTCCTCTCCCTGAGACACTCTCTGCCGCTGGAGAGGGAGACCGACTGTCTCCACTCTTAATAAGGTGTCCTGCTGCTGGGGAGAGAGACCTGTTGTCTCTGCTCCTTGTAGGGCACTCTGCCGCTGGGGAGGGAGGATGATGCTCTCCTCTCCCTGCAATTCACTCTGCTGCTGGGGAGGGAGAACGTTGCTCTCCTCTCCCTGCAATTCACTCCGCCGCTGGGGAGGAAAGACGATGCTTTCCACTCCCTGCAATTCACTCTGCCACTGGGGAGGG